ATGCAGGAGACCATGTGGAATCGCACATAGCACCACACCTGGCACAAAACTTTAATTAATGCTATCTGCCACTGTTTGGATCACACTTGGCTGGGGAATTAGGCAAAGTCTGACATTAACTCCTAGGCTGGGGTGAGGGGTATGGACTGTGGCTCATCCTTTCTCCAATCATCCACTAAACTCTTCCCTAAATCTTCATTTTTCAAACTGATATTCCTTGTTCAAGGTCACATAGTCATCACTTTTAAAAGACCTTGATTAGGACACTTTTCAGAATACCTAACTTCCTTAGTCAATACATTTTCTGCTGGGAGGTTAATTGTTGCCATCTCTGCTGGACTGCAAGATTTGAGGAATAATTTGCACAAGTATCAGCTGCCATCATGACCAAGGCATGAAACATAATTACCTCAAGTGGAAACTGTGATTGGGCCTGAAACTGTGATTGGGACTACAAATGAGCTGCCACCTCTGGAGCCCTGTGTAACTGCTGGTGGCTGCAACTGTAACCTGTGCCTGTTTCTGAGCACTCCTTTTCCTACTTTCAATGAGTCAAAATTCCCAACTCCAGCCAGGGATAGTGATGCATGCCTGTAATTCCAGCGGCTCAGGAGGCTGAGGAAGGAGGATCATGAATTCAAAGCCAGCCTCAACAATTTAGCAAGGCCCTAAGTAACCCAGTGAGACCCTGTCTCTAAATAAAACATTGACCTTCCCATTGTTCAAGATGTGATTCATAGTTTTCAAGGGAATTTCCTTCATTGCTTTGCTGCCTAGTTGCACTCTAAATATGATTTGGACCCATCTGCCACTACTCTCTCAAGCAAATCCTTCCAACCCCAAACACACACATTGTTTTGCCCAGGAAGATCTAGTTCTATCTACTGTCTAACGGGGAGCCAGATGGGGGATCTAGGCCTTCCTTCTCCCTCATGTGAAAGACCATAAGCAATAAGGGAATACATATTTTGCCCTGACCATGGCCACATGGGCCCGGTGGCCATACTCTCAGCATTTCTGAGAAAGATGATGCCACTTGTTACAATGGGAGGTCTTTCATCCTGAAGCAGGGGTACAAGTTCGGCCATCTGTACAATCTAGAAACAACATTGGGAATCACATTTGTGTAGGTCCACAATGTTATTTGATTATCCCATGGAATTAATGACTAATTTGAGGTTTACTAGAGAGAGGAAATGAAACACTGAGGAAACACCGCCAACAAGGGCAAAATATAGGAAGTTTGAGGAAAAAGACACTCAACATGTAGTCAGCATTTTGAGAACACTGAGGAGAGAGCAGGCAGAGCTGAAATCCATGCTCACAGATAATCCCCAACTTTATATTTTAGCCTTCTTTTTACTTTTCTGCAGGCCAGCATCTTGCCATAATCACCTTGGCTACACAGCTCTTATATCTCCAGACAGACAGTGGAGTCTAAAGAAAGATGAGTCAGGTGACAGATGACCCAAGTCTGGAAGAAGTTCCAAGAAGGAAATGTAAAATAGCAAAAAGTGCAGGCTCGTGACTCGGTCAGACTCCAGCTCCAAACCTTGATCTCTCAGACTCTCTGTGAGATTTTTACAGCTTCTGAGTTCCATTTGAATAGTACAAAATGAAACAGATATTTATCCTGTAAGACTATTATTTAAAAATCATTAAAACATGTATAAAGTACCAGGCGTGGAGGCTCCCACCTGTAATCCCAGCAGCTTGGGAGGCTGACACAGGAGCCATCCTCAGCAATGGTGAGGCGCTAAGCAACTCAGTGAGACTCTGTCTCTAAATAAAATACAAAATAGGGCTGGGGATGTGGCTCAGTGGTTGAATGCCCCTGAGTTCAATCCCGGGTAACCCTGCCCTGCCTCCCCCCAAATGTATAAGCATAAAAAAGCTGACTCATCTTAGGAATTGAATAAATGACAAGTACCATTAGTATTTGTAAAATGGAGGTGGTTAGTAACGTCTGCTTTGTAATGTGACTTTAAAAGTAGGGGAGAAATGCTTTGGCCTATAGTAGATGTTTGATAAATGGTACTGTTGACCTGTGCTATGTTTGCCTTGAGCAAAACCATCTCTGTCACTGATAAAAGAGTATTTCTATTCTACACCTCATTCCCTTAAAGAGATAATTACACTTGCCTAACTTGTTTCTTGGAGTTGTGATAACTAAAACCACACACAATAAATCAAAGGCCAGAAATGAGGAACAATGTGCTAGAATGAAACACACTGCATCAGCAGGCAAAGACTTTGGTTCTAGTCTTGTTGCTATTTTTTACTAATCAAGTGACCTTAGGCTAATCATCAAGTAATCTAACCTTTAGGTACACACACTGCTGACCTCTCAGCCACTGTGAGAAAAGACAAATGTGAGAAATGATCACCATTATTGCTCCTTGAGAGCAAAGCCAGCTTCCCAATAACATCAGTATTCATCAAAGACACCGGCACACAGTGGGCACTCAATATTTTGTTTAATGAATTACAAACTACTCAGAAGTCACATTTTACAAATAAAAATATTAGAAAATTTAAACTATACTAAATAACAACAAAAAGGTCATATTTTAATCATTAGTAAACTTTTTTATCTTAATAGCTTTTGGTCTGATTTGTTGGATCCCTAGGACTGTGTCCCAAAGTAATTTGTATGCCCACCTTAACATACTAAAAAATGTTATTTGGACACAAATGGAAGCAGAAAAATCACAGCAAAGAGAAAACAGCTTTTCAATTATGACAGCTGTATGATTTCACAATCCCCCCACACCCATCTCTGGTGTGAATCTATTCCATTAAGTCCTCTATTATTGTATGTGCCCTTTCTCTAGGATTATTCCCAAAGTGAAGGTGGTTGGCATGGTATATCTAAGATGCTTCAAGGAATGTGAGGGATGCCTCACAGGTCTTCACCAAATAGAAGGAGGTGAGTAGAAACCAGCAGGTAGAAACATGGAAGAGAGCACTGGGCTTATAAGCGCCAGGGGAGATCTTGAAGTAGAAGTTTCCAGTAGTAGGAGACTTTCTATGCACTCTCCATCCACACTATAGATTTCATAATTGTTACACTATTTGGCCTCTGAGGGCTTTGGTAGAAGAGGGAAACTTGTAGAGGTTGAGAAGGAAGATGGAGCAGGCCAAAATGCTTATGGTGATCATCATTGTACACTGTAACTGCCCTAGAGCAAGAGCACTTGCAAATGTAGGGTATTTTCCAAATCTGCCATGTTTCAGGTCTGTTTCCCACTCTATTGATGAGCATCTGCAATCTTAAAATCTTTTTTTTGTACTGAGGAATGAATTTAGGGGCACTTGACCACTGAGCCACATCCCCAGCCCTATTTTGTATTTTGTTTAGAGACAGGGTCTCACTGAGTTGTTTAGTGCCTCACTTTTACTGAGGCTGGCTTTGAACTCAAGATCCTCCTGCCTCAGCCTCCCAAGCTGATGGAATTACAGGCGTGCACCACTGAACTCAGCTTAAATAATTTTTAATACCGTCTTCAACCCTCCCCTAATAGCATCTTCTTTCTCTGTTCTTTCCTTTTCTCCTCCACTAGAACCCAAGGGGTCTTTTGTTTTTTTAAAGAGAGAGAGAGAGAGAGAAATTTTAATATTTATTATTTAGTTTTTGGCAGACACAACATCTTTGTTTGTATGTGGTGCTGAGGATCGAACCCGGGACACACGCATGCCAGGCATGCCAGGTGAGCGCGCTACTGCTTGAGCCACATCCCCAAACCCCCAAGGGGTCTTACTAGCTAACCTCAAGCAGACCTCATCCAATTACCCCCAGCTTGGGTTAGGTGTACATGTGTAGCTTTCAACTCACCACATTGTAACTTCTCCAACTCTTAAAAAAAGGGACACATTCTATCCCCAAATGCCCAAAATAGTGCATCACAAAAAAAAGATGCTTTACATGTTTAATTTATTAAGTGTACCAGGGTATACAACTATTTACTGGATTTAACTTTTCTTCCAGATACCAAAAGAACAAGAAAATAGAGGTAGGTTATCAGTCTTTTTTTTTTTTTTTAACACAACAGACAAAAAGTATTGGAAGCTAGACACCAAATCAGCTATTTTTTCCCTTGGTACTAGATCACACTGCTGAGGTACATTACATTACAATGCTGCATAATCTGTTTTAAGAACACAGAATAAAATGCAAAGTTTTTCAATCCATTTTACAAAGACAGTAAAATTCTACATCAAAATCCTACAGAAAAAAAAAAGACCCATCTCGTTTATAAATGATTTAACAATGTTAGATTTAACATAACCTAAATACTAAAGTTACACAATTTTTTCAGAAACTAACTACTCTCCTCCACCTATACTACTTGTGACTCAAGACAGTAGAAGACAGTAGCTTCCATACCCAGGGGGCTCTTGTTGGCCAGCTTTCCTCTAGTCCTCACTAGTGGTGGAGACCAGCCCTTGCACTGGCTCTGGCTCTGACTCTAGCCCTCATACTGGCCTCAGCTCTGGCCCTATCGGCCTCATCTGCCAGGGCTTCACGATACTGCACTGTCCAGTGCTGGGGTTCTTTCTTATGGAGCCTGGCCACGAACCCCAGGACTTTCATCTTGCTGATTTCCAGGCTGCTTCGGGGACCCCAAGAGAATTCATATTCCAGTGGATTGGTGTGAGGCACCCGCCTGTAATTGAGGTATCGCTGCTGCACAAATTCTTCCATAATAAGCCTTTTCGGGTACCCAAAGAGGAAGTGATACTTTGAAGGCAGCACTCCCAACCGACGCAGCATGTCCCAGACCTGGGCCTCCCTGACGCTATTACCTTTCATGTAGATAAGCCCCAAGATCATCATTAAGAGACCCAATCTGGGGCCATCTCCTCCCAGATCCTCCTCCTCCTCAAGAGGTTTTAGTTTGTGGATGAGGATGTAAGTGTGGTGCTTGCGGTCAAGCTGTTTCAGCTCGAAACCAAAGACATACCGCAGATGCTCTGCGGCCCTTGCGATGATCTCCGGGAACAGATCCTTCAAATCTCCGACAACATACTTCACCATCTCAAAGCGTGTGACGGGACTCTTCTTCTTGTCCTTCACCAGCAGAAACTGCACCACCTCAGCCACCGTCCGATTCAGACGGCGGTAGGCCCTGCGCCGCGCCAGGGCTTTGGCTGCCAAGGTCCTCGCGCCTTGGCGGGTGGGGGCGGGCTCCGCAGCCCCCTCCCTCATGGCACCGAGGCCCTCCTTGATGCTCTCCTGCAGGAGGGGGCTCGGGGCCAACTCCTGAGAGACGGTCAAGGCCACAGTCTCACCGTCTTGGCCGCCGTGCTGCTCCCCCGCGGCCTGAGGGCTCGGGAGACCCCGGCTCTCGGGCTCCCGCAACATGTTTTCGGGCAGGCAGGTGCAGAGCGCGCACTCCAGCCGAGGGGTGTGCGAGCCGCTGCACGAACCCTGGCGGAGGAGTAGGACAGCGGCTGGGGCGGTGGGAGGAAGCACAGGCGCAACCCCGCGGAGAAGGTTTGTGGTTGCCGGACGGCACCGCACAGGGTTGCGAGCCAACGCTGCAACGCCGCGGGCGCCCAGGACCTGTGGTGGGGCAGCTGCGCAGCCTCAGTCCGCGCCCGCGCGCCAGCCACTTCCGGCCACCTCAGCCAAGATGGCGGCCTCGGCACGGCGCAAAGCAATTCCTCTTCCGCCTCCTGTGGGCTTCTGTGTTTATAGAGGGCCTTAGGGGAACGTGCACCCACTGCTGTGTTTTAAGCTAGGGAAGCTGGGGTGGGTGGAATGAGGGGTGTAACTAGGGCTTTTCCAACCAGGGCAGGCAAGGTGGGGAATGTTTCAGTAGACAAGGGATGGAGTTCTAACCACATTCTTTCAGCAAGTACTTATGTATAAGTGTGTGTTGTCCAGATTTCAGGTGCTTTACTGAAGCTCAGTTGCAGAGTGGGAAGGTGAAGGCTGGGAGATAAGGCTGCATAGTTCAGTTAGTGAAGGGCTTCAAATAGGATGTTGGGGAAATTGAGATTTATTTTGGACACGATGGGGAAAGACCACAGGGGGATGTCTGAGCCAGGTTGGTGGCTTTATACTCTTTCTGGTAACAGTGTGATGGATGGATTGAAGTGAGACCAGCCAAAAACTGGGAATTCAGTTTAGAAGATTATAGTGCAGAATGGGAGCTGAGACCTATCCTGGCACATGGAGACACTTAGGAATATTATGCAATAGATAATTATGATGAAGGGGGTAAGAACAGCAGATTCTACAGGGATAAGAGGCAAATGAGAAGAGATTCACTGAAGAAGTACTGATAGGAATAGTGACTGGTTAAAGGAAAAGGAAGTTTTCTCTCACTTCTTGTCTCCTCCTTATTCTTTCTTTCTCAAATGCACTCTCAACATCTCCATTTTGCTAGATCCTGTCCACTATTCAGAGCCCAGCATAAACATCAGCTTTCCAAAGTCTTCCTCAACACTGTAGTCACCATGCATGTAATTTATTTACTGTCATCTCTGAATCACCACAGCAATTTATATTTATTTAACATCCATATATATAGACCTTATTATGTGCTAGCTCTTTTAAGCACTTTGCAAATACTAATGATTTGATTCTCATTAAGGTAAGTACTTACAGATGTCTGTGTCTTTCCTGCGGTATTTGTTGTTTACTAGCTATATAATCTTAGATCAGTTACTTGAATATCCTGCCCTTCAGTTGCCTCATCAGTACAATGGGTGTAGGAGTGCTGTAGGGACAAAGGAGGCAAGGCATGGAAGATAGCAGGAAACAGTTTTATTTGGCTGCAGCCAGGTTCAGAGGGTACAGCCTTTGCTGTACTCAGTCAATCCCCTGAACCCCGAGTTCAGGGAGTTTCAGAGTTTTATACCCAGCATGTAAGGGGAGGGGCTCAGAAGTTCACATTCTGCAGAAGTTCTCATAAAAGCAGCTTTTTCTTTCACTGTTCTGGGCACATTAACTCTTCAAGGACAACACCTGAGAAGGGGGGAGCTTCTTTCTATCCTCCCCCTGCCAGCTGTTACCATGGAGCCCATTTGTAACTTATCTTAAAAATGTAGACATCTCTGTGAAGCCCAGCTTAAGGCCAGAGGCCTTGTTTGCACATTTCTTCAAAGTACTATACTGGATACGTTTGTGAAAAACTAGTAAGGGGGTGTCCAGCACCTGTGGTATCTTCTCGGCCAGTGGCCAAGTAAACAGGGTGACATGAAAATAGGAAGTTTATCTACAATGGACTCTTTTGCTGACAGTCCTAAAATCAGCCATGGTGAAGAGGGCTTTTCTGTGGAGAAAGGGGGTGCCACTTCAGGAGTAGTGACAGTTTTGTAGAGATTATGTAAAGTAATGGACATAAGAATTAAATGCAGTGTATGGCACATACTGAATGTCTAATGAATGTGAGAGATTAGTTATTGAGTACATACTGCTAGTAAACCTGCTAGATAAATAGTGAATACCTAAGTTTTACAGCCAAGGTAACACACAAAGAAGTAACTTGCCCAACATCACACAGCTGGTATTTGAATTCTTACAGTGTGACCCAGAGACCAGACTCTTTAACTATTACATTAATAGATGATGATTATTATTGTTGTTATTTATCACACTTGGCTTTATAATTATTTTTGTTTTTATCTTTTTACCTCCCCAAACCAAACATCCTAAAAGCTAGAACTATGTCTTTAACTCTTTTGAAGAGCTTTTCATAGTTTGCACTCCATATGTAATTATCAGTGAATAAATGATGGAAGGCTTTATTTTTTTCCTTAGAAAATAACATTCATTCTTAAAAAATATCAGACAGACTTTTCTAGATCTAAATATGAAATCTTTCTTTTTAAAACCTTTGAGGGCTGGGGTTGTGGCTCAGTGGTAGAGCATTTGTCTAGTATGTGTGAAGCACTGGGTTTGATTCTCAGCACCACATATAAATAAATAGAATTTTTTAAAAAAGAAGCCACATTACTTTAAAAAATTTTTAAAAATATATACCCATTAATTTTATATGACTTACAAAAACTTAAAATATGAATGAAACAATGTTTATTAAAGTCTAGCTTGAGGCTATTATTAGTTTGCATGTGCCAAACATTTTATGTACAATATAATGTAGGCCTCACAAATCCCTATTAGGAAGGTATTATTATCCTCATTTTGCAAGTGGGAAAACAGTCACCGAGAGGTTAAATTGCTTACCTTAAATCACCCATCTGTTAAATGTTAAACAGGAAATGCAAATCCAGATTTGCCTAATCAGAAGCCTGTGCTCATGACCACCATGTTGGACTGCCTGGTTAGACACCCCTACCTAAAAGCAGTGATACAAAATAATCTACTTTCATGTTTTTGTCACTCAAGCATGGCCAAGAGAAATATGCATGGAAAGTAGCATGTAAGAGAAATGTTGAAGGAATTTTGAATTAGTAATAATATAGCTGGATTTAAAAAATGAATAACAGAATACTCATTTAGAAAGGGAACAAACTGATACAATTTGGATGAGTCTGGCAGACATTATGTTCAATAAAAGAAGAAAGATTCAAAAGATTATAAATCCAATATGATTCCACTTATCTGATGTTCAGAGCAGGTTAAACTAATGTATAATGATAGAAATCAGGATGGTAGATCTGGGAATGTAGCTCAATGGTAGAAATTAGGATGGTGGGCTCTCAGGGTGAGCTTGACTGGAAAGGGGTATCTAGGAACTTTCTGTGGTGATGGGAACGTTCTGCATCTTGAATTTAGTGTAGGAGTACATATCTGAAAACTTACCAAACTGTATCCTGAATACTTATGTATTTCACAGAATATAAATTATACCTCAAAAATTATAGAAATGATGGGCTGGGATTGTAGCTCAGTGGCAAGGCACTCACTTAGCACATGTGAGGCACTGTTCGATCCTCAGCACCACATAAAAATAAAATAAAAGACATTTTGTTCATCTAAACTACAAAAAAGATTTTTTTAATTATAGAAATTAAAAAAACCTTTTTTAAATATTTATTT